AGTAGTGGGTTCTTTTGCTTTATCCTATATATGTAGTCCCCCCCTTCCCTTTTTTCTGTAGTAGTTTTGTAGTTTGACAAAAAATAATAAAAAATCCCCTCCGGGGGCTTAAAAAAAAGAGAGAGAGAGATTTTTAAGAAGGCACTGCAAGGCCATCTCATTTACTGGGGCTTTTAATGGGGTATAAACTGCAGGTATCTTCTGGGTTATTTGGGGGGTTATTTAAAACGGGAATGGTTTTAATTATGATTGCTGAGCCACAAGGAAAGTTGGGATATAAATATTTTAATTTATAAATAAATAATAAATTCTGACTGGCAGTAGCTCTCCAGAGTCTCTCCCAGAACCAGTTCCTGGCACCTGAAAATACTTTAGGTGTAGAAACCTAGACAACTATCAACACTAAATGTTGATATATATAAGCTGATATTCGACTGGATATTTTAAATGTAAGGTTTTCCTGTTTACCTGTATTTCTTTTAATGTTTTAAACCTAACTTTTATCATTTGTTTTTATAGTGATAGTTTTGTATTAATTTTAGAAATTTCAATGTATTATACCTATTGGATTTATTTGTCTAATTATGCTTAAGACCTCCGGACATATAAGCTGAATAAATAGATTAAATGAACAATAAATGGTTGTTGGTTTTCAGTCAGCAATAATCTTTCTAATTTTCCTCTACTGAGCACCCAGACCAACTTACTGCTCTCCAGACAGAAAGGACTGAACAAAGCACATCACCAAGCAAACAGCCTGTAAAATGATTTACCGTAGCTTCATTGCAATCTGTGCATTTGACAACATGCTGGTGAAGCTTCCCATCCAAATTGATTAGCGACTGGCACACACGGCAACTGATTGCAGGAACACCACTGGCATCCGGACTGGCAATGGCGGTATATGGAGGTGGGAGTTCGGCTGTGAAGAAAGAGTGAAAAATAAATTGTATCAGAAAAAAAAACTGCACACAAATTATAGAAAATATTCTAGCTGTAAAAGTAAAGAAAATGCTATGCATATGGGGGAGGGGGTACTAACCTAACTCCTAATACAACCTGCAAGTTAGCCTGTCAGTGATGAGTTCCTTCTGGGCAAGCACAGACCATCCCCAGAATTTAAGTCTTCCTGTTACAGAATTATTTCCTCAGTCTGATGCATCTGAACTAAGGTGCAACAGTGACTAATTCTGTGACCCTGGCTTGATACGCTCAGCTTCCCAGCAGTGTCTGCATAGGAAACTGGGAACAAAATGCAAGCTGTCTTAGCCAAACTGCAGTGCCATCTTACAATAGGGCTGCAAGTATCACACTCCTGATTAACTCAAGCAGCTGGATCCCATATTGTTCTCTCCTATTAGCCCTGCAACTCAATAAGTAACAAATCAAATAATCTTGTTCAAGGTAAAGCTTTTTAAACTGGGTTTCTGACACTGCTTATAAAAGTATTTCTTTGTAAAACTATTTTTTACCAACACACTAGCCTACTACATGCCTGGCATTTTAATATTAAAGCAAACAATTTTACATCTACATTCTGAAACATTGTGGGAGGTCTGTACTATGACCTTTTATTGAACATATTTGCAGAATTTTTTGTGTGTATTTCTAATGCTGCTGCTAGCAAACCTCTATTTTGGCATATCTTTCTATTGTTGGGGCCGATAGCAGTTTCTCTTTGCCACATGACACCCAGACATGAGCGTCAGGACCCCCCCAAGACAAAGTCCAGGAGCCAGCAGAAAGAGAACAGAATCAGGCATAACCCACCTTAATTTCATCACATTCACTGGAAAGAACAGTAGACTGGGAAGGAAACCAAGCCCTCCTCTCCTTTACCTGGCAGTCAGATAACCAAGCAGGGAGGATCTCAGTAACTGAACAGAGTTATGTTAAACACACACAAGGTGATTGCTCTAAGACTCAAGCTCTAGAAAAAGCTCCACATACAGTAGCATTTACTACTAAGGGCCTAACTTCATGTTATGTTTCCCCCAGGAATGTTTCCAAATTGGCCTGAGAGATGAGTTCTGAAGTTCCACATTTCCCATGGTCAGAATCAGTCCCAAACTGTATTTGAGTTAAGGCTGGGCTGGGCTCATGGTCATGCCCATAGGGCTCCTCGCTGTGCCCAGTTTTGACTTTGCTCTGCTATTCTCAGTTGTGCTTTCATTTAGGGGCACCCCGGTGAGTGTGTTTTAACTTGCCTAGGACTGCCCATATCAGAGCACAAAGCTGTGTGGCTTCGCTACTTCCCCCTTGCCTTTACTTTTGGATTATTTGCTGACTTGATGTTCAGATCCTTGCCTTGGGAATCAGTCCTTGGCCTGGAATCTGCACTGATTGTTTCATGTCTGAGGTTGCTTTCTGTTTACAGAAAGAAATTTGATAATATGCAGGTGACTGGATAACCTAGGCAAGCTCAGTCTTGTCAGATCTCGGAAGCTAAGCAGGGCCGGCCCTGGCTAGTATTTGGAAGGGAGACCTCCAAGGAATACCAGGGTCATGATGCAGAGACAGGTGATGGCAAGCGACCTCTGAGTGTCCCTTGCCTTCAAGCCTCACTAGGGGTCACCACAAGTCAGCTTGACTTGATGGAAAGAAAGAAAGAAAATATGCAGGTGACAAGTTGTTGAGCAATTTCTCTTGTATGCTGTCACAAAAAGAAAAAGAAATGCAACAAGGGTGACATTTCATCCCAGTTTTTCTTAAGGTTTTAGAAGGAACATATCCTGTCACCATGAGTGGCCACAGCAGGTCCTCGGCATGTCCTACTGATTGTAGCAAAGGATGTTATGGCTGGTGCCCCAGCAACTGCTATGATGTATACAAAAACCAAGCTACAGCATAACTGATAACAAGATCAAACCCCAAGGCAAGAAGTTCAGGACATTTCCAAATATATAAAATGGCCCACTATGGCAAGAGTTTGGGGGAATGATATTTTAAAGAAGCTGTCCCTTTGCTTATCTGGGATAACTCAACAGGTATGGGGTACTGCAGCTCATATTCTGTGGCCTTGTATCAATACTGCTCAAGTTACATCAAGGAATTTCTTGATCAAGAAGGATGAATTCTGAGACCAAAATAATGAGTATTAATTCATTTATTATCTGACATCCTTCCACTTAAAATTTAAAGAGCAGAAGTGGGACTTTATACATGTGAAGCAAAGCATGTATTTTATTATTGAGCCATGTAGGAAGGATGTAACTGTTTGGGATTGTACTGCAGTTTTCTCAGGAATCTTCATTTGGAACTCTCTTCCCAGAGACTGTGTCCTATCAGTGTCTTCTGCCAGTGGATGAAGTTTTTTTGTGTTTCATTTGGCATACCCTCCACTAACAATGATTGGCCCTGTTCCACAGTTTTGGTGTTGTATGTCTGTGCATGTTTACTGAATTATTTTGTAATTCTGAACATTGTTTTTTATGTTTTCATGTTCACCACCTTAGAGACCTGATAGAGTGGAAAGGCGGCATAGAAATGTTCTAAGTAAATAAATAAGTTTGGCATGAAGTCTGGCTTACAGTCACGTAATACTTTTTACCTGGCAACCTTTTCCCAACAGCACCTTTCTATGAGACAGGGCAATAAAAATGTTTACTAGAAATACAGAGTGTTTACCTTTGTAACTTATGAGAGGAATAAAACCCAAAGCAGTTCACAGAGTAATCTATGACATACTGTGAGCCTTGTAAAATACCAGCTGGTGCTAAGATTTGTCAGAATACACTCAAAAGCCCTCAAGTAAATATATCTCGAAAGCTGCCTCTTCAGAACTGGATCATATAGATTCCAGGACAGGCAGCTGGTTGCTCATCCCTGCATCAGGAGCCAGGCCTATGACACAGAGTACAGAAAATGGGCCTGAAGTAACTAAATGGCTCTGTATCCGTCTGACTCTGAAAAGAATATCTTGGATCAGCACAATCTATAATGTGGCCCCACGTAGACTTATTCCTGCAATGAAGGGCCATAAAATCAATTAATCACACCTCTTATTAATAACTCAGGGCAGGAAAAAAAGATGAGAGAGGTTTATTTCCTGTCAGGCTTAGAGGGTAGGGAGAGGAGATGGAGGAATGAGCATCGTTCTGAAGAAAAAATTCCCTCCCTTAACTGTGAGGTGCAGACTCTCTTTTCACAGCTTTAGGGTTTTTAGTGGGTGAGGAAACAAGCCTAAGAAGATGCACATCATGAAGTGCGTTCTTGCCAGCTCAGCTGAAGAA